CCCCGTAACTTGATTCAGAGCAGAACCATTCAGCTGTATGTGTAGTGGGGCAGGCGTTTTACTAACAGTTATGAGAACTGGCATGTCAAAAACAGGTCCTTCATGGCTCCCCATAGCTTGCTCTGCACACTTGGCTATTGAGGTCAGTTTCTTTTTGTAGTCGTAAGTAAAGTGGGCAAGCCTGCAGGATGTGCTCAGATGTTTGTGATCCTGTTTGACAGGTACACTGTGGGGAACTGGTCTTTATTTTATGCATGTGGTAGTTGACCCTGCAGTGTCCTACTCGTAGACGGAAAATTGTTGCATGTTGTTTTCTGTTAAGTCTCCTGATGGCGTCTTGTGCATGTTTTTTGGTGTTTGTTCTCTCCCCAATTCCTTGTATTTTCAATTAATGAGTTTGTGTTCTAGGAGAGTGTCTTATAAGGCTTGAAATTAACATGTGGGGAACCCTTGAAACCGTTGAAATATTATAAATTAAAAACAATGCGTTAATGTATTAATCATATAAAGAAGTCTGTTTCTGTTTATTTCTGTGTGTTGTAACACCATGAAATCGACCAATCAAATTGTTTTCTTAAATGTTCGTTGTATTTTAGGCACAGCATTATGGTCCTATGTGCTTGTGAATGTTGCTGTGTTTGTTTATTTGACCAGTACTTAATTAATAAAAATTTATGTAACCTATGGTGCTACTTCAATGGTTTGAGGCGAATTCTGTCCGTACTTCAGAGTTGTGGATTTTAAGCGGTACAACAGCATGGCTACTAAAGACACCGTTATCAGGGGTGCCTAGTTAGTCCTGTGCATAGTACAAAAATTTCAATAGCGAGGGGCATTCGTCTTGTAAAGGGAAGACGTTCGATTGTTGGTACGGTAACTATAGCTTACGACTTTTATGTTGTCTAGTGTGTCATTCTTTCTTTCTACTTCTTTTAATAAGTGCTGTACTTTAACCCATTTTACTCTATTTTGTGTCCTGATCATATTTCAAAACAAAGATCCACAGATAATTTATCACAGGCAGAAAGAGGCAAACTTTATTTAAGGTTATATTATGGGTAGACATATATTTGGCCCCCTCTGAGACGACATGAGCTAAGAATTACAAAACAAGCACTGAAATGGAAAACAAACAGTCTGAGAAGAAAGCGGTCATTCAAGGGAAATATTAAGAGGAACATTATTACGAGAGGCTAAGAGATATTGGGCTGAACTCCATGTCAGAAATATAGAGAGTTACGGGCAATAGAGCGGAGTGGAGGAATCGAATGCTAGCCCTGAGGTCTAGCGGCACATGAACGATGATGATGATGATGGTGAGAAGAGAACATACTAGAACGCGTGAAAACAGGAAAGAGTTCTGTTATGTTATGTTAGTTTCAGCTTCATAGCAAACGAGTCACACCACAGTTGCTCCGCTTCTGTGAAGAAAAAAAATACACATAATTTTTATAACAGTCCCTTGTGGAGAGATTGATAGACTGCTGTATCAGCATATGCACTAGCCACTAGCATACACACGCATTAAAAGCATACGGTAGCCATCAGAAGTGCTAACATAAACAGTCCGACATTAGAAATGCAGTTCATCATCGACGGTAGCAGAGTTAACGAACAAATCAGCAGCTGCACACGCGGTCAATTTTAATCACATAAGGGCACCACCAATATTGTGACGACAGGCCACGCGCCATTTTCTAAATCTACAATTCACAACACAGCACCACGCTGGTCACAGTCGAAACAGTTCAAATGAAATCGGCCGCTCACAAGGTCGCACCATGCACTCAACTCAGTAGCTGGGCGACGAAACTATACATTTTGTCTACAAATGAAGCAAAAATGCAAAAGCCACCGTCTGGCAAACACTTGTGGCCGTACCTTTTGTCCATTTTGATCGGAACCCCGGAAAGAGTGATAGAAGGATGCGTAGGAGAAAACAACGATATTTCTTACTTTATTGTTTTTTGTCGTGGCATGATGGGCGGTGTCAGCAGACGAACTGTTACATATTGCTGGAGATCTCCAGTTGGGGGGAGGTTGGATCGCCCACGCCAGTGAAAATGGATGCTTATGACAGTAACGAGAAGTAGAGGGCGGTAACAAATGTTACACAACTTGCATCCGGCTTAATATTTGCTGGTCGGCAGCTAACATCACATTTAAAGCTACCACTTATTATTAAATTTAATGTGAGGACAATTTTCGAGGAAATAAAACCTTGTTTACAGAACCCGGATGTCAGTGTTTTAAACACTGCGAGGGCAAAAAGTAGTTTTCATTCCTGCGGTTGTTCTGAAAAGTGTGATCTTCTTTAGAGGTTATTTTATGTGTTTCCTTACAAACAGAGGTAAGAAGCCACACGCACTTTAACACAAAATGTATACAACAGTAACAGCCAGTAGCATTGCAAAAAATTAGATGAGATACTGAATATTAGATTACATTCCTGGTGCCAGTGAGACATACTGTAGTAGTAGTAGTAGTAGTAGTAGAAGTAGTAGTAGTAGTAGTAGTAGTAGTAGTAGTAGTAGTAGTAGTAGTAGTAGTAGTAGTAGTAGTAGTAGTAGTAGTAGTAGTAGTAGTAGTAGTAGTAGTAATAGTAGTAGTAGTAACAGCACCAGTAAAGCAATAGTGGTAGTAATAGGTGAATTATTGCAGGAGCGTAGAAAAGTCAGATGATAACAGGTGGGGAGAAATTTCCTTCCACCCCTCCCCCTCCCTTTTCCGAATACCCGCAGCTGTCCTAACCCCCTTCACGTCTCTAGCTACGCCCTCTGATTAGTGGTGCTATTTAAAAGTCGTGCTCCTAAACTTCGACTGGTTAGTTGCGTATCCTTTACAAGACGTTGCAGAACCAACCTCAGCAGCCCCTGGCTATTGTTTGGTTTCTCTAGGCAAATTTACGTCCAGTAGTTTGCAATTGCTTTTCTGGACTGTCGGCTTTCTTGATACCATTGTCGAAACCAACGCAAGGCGCATGGCCTGCAGCTGGGATCGAACTCGGCATCCCGGCATTACGAAGCGTTCGCATCGACTTAGCCACAGAGTCGACAAACTTCGACTAGTATTTCGAAAACTGTAATGATCAACATAATTGTTAGCATACCCTTAAGATTTCATAATTTACAGTTGCGTAGATGCTACTGTGCGGCAAATGTCTTTGATCTTTGTCGAAATAATAATCTGTGTACCGCTAAAAATAGAATATACAGTAATTTGCATACTTCGTTTTGTGGTGATTTTTTAAAAATAGCCTATCCCGCATACAATAAACTATTATGTGCACACAACTCACGGGAGGCTAATGTAGGAGATTGACCACATGAAAGTGAAACGCATATGAACTGAAGTTATAGCAATATAAACGAGATTACGACAGTCATCATCATCATAAACCACTTTTGCCGTTAAGCGCCGTGGTGAGGAATAATTTGCGATCCAGTGCACGTTGGCTGCCCCTGGCTATTGTCATGTCTTGAAGGCGTAGAGTGTCTTTAATGTTGTCGATCCATGTTTTCAGCGGTCGTCCTCTTGCTCTTATAGCTGATCATTTGAGATGTAGTGGTTGTGATGTAATCTGATCTTGCTGCATTCTAACGAGATGGCCAAACCCCTTGATCTGCTGTTTCTCGATGAATCTAGTACAAGGTGTCGTTCCCACAATTTGCCTGATGGTTTCATTATTCACTCGATCTCGTATTTTGCACGGTTAACCTTCAGAACATGTGCAATATGAAGTTTTGCAAAAGTCTCTTCAATCTCCTAATGTAAAGATGCTAACAGTAGGCTCTAAATCCGTGTCTGTTTTTTTTTTAATATACCGCAAATAATGTTAAAAAAAAACTATATCTATGTTTACGTTATAAATATTTTATACAAGGACATGATTATTAACAAGCTACATGGCGAGTTTCAACACTTTATACGGTTACTTAGTTACATATTTTTAAAGTTTGGCACGACTTTTGAAGTGATTGTAATAGTAATACAAGTAGTAGCAGTGGTAGTAGTAGTGGTAGTATCTGTCAGTAATTATACTAGTTTCAGCATTAGTAGCAGTAATGGTAATAATGATGGTGGTGGTAGTAGTAGTAGCAGCAGCACTAGTAGTAGCAGAAGCAGAAGCAGTATTATTGCAGTAGTAGTTTCAGATGTGTTAGTAAGCTTGTTGCCGTTACTATTGCAGCAGTTGCACAAATAGTAAAAAAAAATTAATTAATTCTAGTATTTCCAGATGCAGCAGAAATAACGGCAACTGTAGTAGCATTAATAGTTATGTAGTAGTAGTGGCAGCAGCAGCACAAGTAGCAGTAGAAAGTGTTGTTGTTGTTGTATAATCAGTACTGATAGAAAAAAGTTGTAGTAGTAGTAATAGTAGCAGCGGCAGCAGCAGTAGTAGTAGTAGTAATATAAGTTGCAGTAGCAGTAGTAGTAATGTTTGTTGTCCTGTTTATTGTGGTAGGTAGTGGTAATTATGGCGGGTGGTGGTAGTGGTGGTAGGTGGTAGTAGTAGTGCTATGTGGATTTATGTGGTGCTAATGGTGGTAGGTGGTGGTAGGTGGATTTATGTGGTGGTAGTGGTTCTAGGTGGTCGTAGGTTGTGGTAGTGATGGTAGTGGTGGTAGGTAGTGGTAGCAGTATCAGAAGTAGAGGGCGTTAGTAGTAGGGGCAGCAGCAGTAGCATTTCTTGTGCTCTTTATTATCTTGCTGTGATTCAACCAGTAGTGGCTATTGCTGATTCAAACACAAGAACAAATCACGAGTTCTCCAACTTGGGGAATGGAAAGGGACGGGGCGGGGAGGGGCGGGGTGCACATGTGAAATATCTAGTTAGAAATCGTTTGTTTATAAATTATGTACTTTAGTCACTTTTGTAACATGCCTTATAATTACATGTCGTTAATTATTTCACTTTAACGTTTCTATATTTTTAAAAATACTTTTTTCTACTTTATACACATATATTTTATACTGACATTCAACAGGGCTCGTGAAGTATGACAAGTCTTCGTCTCAGTGCACTGTGTTTGCTTACAGCCGGTATTTACTTGGCTGTTGTGGGTATGTGATTTCTTGTCTTTCAGTGTTTGTAATTTGTGTACAAACCATGTCGAGAACATTCCAGAGACTACAAGAGCTTCGGGTCTAAAAGGGGATTGCCAGATATGAACACTACACAGACAGCCAAAGAAGAGTAGTAAACCAACACAGAACCAGTGTGATCAGTGGCCACATGCTGGGCGTGGGGACCTACTGAAGATGCGATCTGAGCGCATGTGGACTTGTCTCATATGCAATAAGGCTGTCGATTTCCTAACAAATTATGTATCTACTGAAACCGTTATGCTATTCTTCACACGTCGCAAATGAAATCGACATATAACCTTCAGATCGCGGGACATCCCATTGTCGGTTACGGGACTTCATTGTGAGGAATTAGCGAAAAGGGGGGTGGGTGGCTTGAAGCGGAGGGGGAGGGGGGGGGCGGGGAGTAAAAATAGACCACCTGAGCAGGTAAGCACTGAAATCTACTGGAAACAGATCAAATGAATTTGAAATGGTTCTTTCGTAAAAGGGAAAGCGAAAATGTATACCTAAACAAAACTAGATCTGCTGAACCAAGAGCTCATGAGAAATACAAAGAGGCTAATAGGGAAGTGAGGAAGTGATAACGGGCGTATGAAGGGGGAAATATTTAGATGATTTGGCTCAAAAACGAAGACAGCAGCAGGAAAAGCTAAATAAACGTCAGAAACCTTGAAACCACCACGAGCAAAATAGTGGGTAATTATAGTCAACAATTTGGATCACACGACGTTTCTCAATCAAAAACATAAGACGAGAGAGACAAACGGGCTGAATATGTTGAAGAACTTCTGAAAAGAGAAGCACCAGAGTTCCCTCCAGATATCATCCTTTAGAAATGCAAATATCAGGTATGAGATGACATCTAAAAAAAAAAAAAAAAAACCCCGGTAAATCTAGGGCTAATTAAGGAAAGAAAGGCTACATATCCAGATGGTATTCCAGCAGAAATTATTAGGTCAGTATAATCGCTTCGACGAAATTGCTACAAAAATTATTCAGTAAAGTCTGCGAGACCAAAAAAGTACGAGTAGACTGGAAAGAATATCTTGTAAAAACAGTGAGTGAAAACTATAGAGTAATTAAGTGGTTGTTAGTTCCTGGAGAAATATTAGGTAGAAATATTCTGGAAAGACTGAAAGTTGCTAATTGTAAACAGTTAGGGGATAAACAGGCAGCTTTTTCATCCAAACAAATAATCTATTGACCAAATAACTAGACTGCCAACTGATTGCCATGTTTGTCTCCTGTATAGTGATTAGTGATTAGAAATGATTATCATCACAGCACTCCGGACAGATCCATAGGTGCTCCGATCTCCTCCTCAAAAGCTCCACAAGTGTAAAACGGCTGATGACGCCTGTTCTATGTTGGTTAATAAAACGTCTTGTCCCCTTAGTGAAATATTCATTTCTTGCAGCTCCAGGCTGCACCCCCATGTTCATCAGTCTAGACAGGGATACGGAGTCATGTCCTTTGGCGTGCTCCTCAGTACGGTAAGTGCAGCGCATGGCATTCATAACATCACTTCTGTCCAGTACTGGGCCAGCCATATCAACTGCAGTGTCAGCAAGATAGTCTGCACGCTCGTTCCCTTGAACACCCGCATGACCTGGCACAAAAATGAAGGTTTGGACAGATATTCGTGAAGTGCTTAGTGTATCCAATCCTTCATCATGCACATACTTCAATAGTTTCTCTCATGCTCTACACCTCCGTAAATTATGCCAGAAGAACGACGACATCCAGACGGGTGTCTATTTATCGTAAAGGCTGAGCCTGTCACAAGCAAGCATTTATGAGAAATGCATCTGTTGACCTACATACATGACAGCAACTCATGGACGTTCCAGTCAAGAGTCGGTTACGTCCCACCTCTGAGCAAATCTTAAGCACGATCTTTTGTTATACAGATTCACGGAGCATACTTCAGATAATTGAAACTGATGTACAGCACGCAGAGTGGCTTGTATCACCTAAGACCTAAATCAAGAGCATATCGTGGGTTTTCTGTCCAAGATATGTAGGTGTGCAAGGTAACGAGCGGATGATAAATTACCTGCTGCCGCTCCTCTGGACGGTGAGCTATTGTATGATAAAGCGGATGTGGGGAATGTTATATGACTACAAATGGGCAGTGCAGAAGAACAGATAAGGAATCCATATACCGAAAGACCAATTCAACGGGGGTGAGTAGATATTGTGGAAAATAGACAACATTAAAGGGTAAAGAGAGGCGGACTGTTAATCAGGTTTCAACTGGTACCATTAGAATGTCAAATCTTTGATGGTTACTGAAAAAGGGAACGGAACATGTGTGAGAATGACGCGAGTGCAGTGATACAAATTCTTGATTCATTCATACATTCATTCTTGTCATTCATGTTGATTTAAGTTGAGTTAAGCACTCACAGCACTCAGGGCATTTCCATACTCGCTCCGTCCCCATCCTTAGCAGCCAGCGCAGAGTTCCAGTACTAATGGTGCCAGTCGTAGTCTGGTTGTATATCCGTCTTGCCTTTCCTCTGAGCATAGTGTGCCGGCTGAACCCTCTGGTGACACCCAAGTGCATCATTTTCTCCAGCAGCCAATAATAATCTAATTTCTCTTCTGACTTCGTTACTTGTTCGCAAAGAGCTCTGACCACATCTTTTTTGTCATGCATCAATTCACCGCCTAGCGGTGCAGATCCAGCCAGTCTGTCTGCTTGTTCATTCCCCACCTCGCTGGCATGACCTGGAGAAAAGATCCAAAGTATGCTCATTATCCGTGACCTCACAAGTGAAGCTTGCCACTCTGCTCGAAGTAATCCTGTCTTCGCCTTTTTCAGTATTCTTTCAGTCCGTTACAATTATAAGATGTATGTATCTTGTTCTCTAGCCAACGGCAAGCTGCAGTGACCACCTTCACCTCCATTCTCATGCAAGATGGCGGGGTATCATATGCCAGGCTGTCCTGCACTAAAGATTTGTCCAATGTCTTTCGATATGAAATCACACGCACTTCTCTTTGCTCTCAATACAGAACCATTTGTGTAGATACTAAGATCATCAGGACGAGAATTGTCGTGAATCAGCTGTTGGACCTCCATCTCAGTAGCTTCCGCTGGCCACTCTCTGCACTTCCGGCCTAATTTGATCATGACCCTACCCAGGTCAAGTTTCATCTTATCCTCGAGTGACTGAAAAAAAAAAAATATTTAAAATATTCATCATTGACGCCTGGTCTGAATAACTGGCAGGTGCAGCAAAATCTTTTCTGATGTACAGAACGCTGCCGTCAAATTCAGTGCAGGTGTATTTCAATTCTCAGAATCACTTAAAGTATCTTTGACATAGAGATTACGACCATCAAGTCTACCACTCTAATGACAGAGCCCGTAGGTCTCTTTGGAAACGCCCTATCTATCTCATGAGCTGGAACTCGCCTACGGGACTTTCAGATCATGCACAGCTTTATATTATAATTTGAATTACGGCCCTTGCCTGTCACAGCTATTTTTTCTGGTATTCATTGCCTGTTTTCATACGTGTTTTAGAGCTTTAAATGACCTCACCAGCATGTGAATTTATTTTGGAGATACTCTGAGTAGAGAGATTTTTATGTATTGTTGTTTATACTTTTAACAGTGTATGTTCGTGTATGTTGAATATGTGCCGCTGAAGGCTTTTTAGCGGCTACCTTCAGCTTTCGCTTTTGACTGTGATAGTGTCTATTCATAATACCTTAGACTGTCAGAAAAACCAACACGGAATGCCTGGAAATTGCTAATGAAAGTAGAAAACTATATACAACAATGTGAAGGAGACAAAGTCCTTTGGTCATGTGATGAGAAAAGGAGCACTGAAAAATACCGTGATGATTAGAATGATCATTAGTAGAAGAGGCAAAGACAGACCAAGAGAAATGATGGTGGATGGCTTAAGACAGTGGCATGGAGGTATATCATCAGTAGATTTGATCCAGAACACTAAAGACTAGGATTGATGGCAATGCATGAACGCTTATGCCAGCTGGCAAGGCATTTGATGATAATAAATACCTTTTTAATGGCATAATTAATAAAACTAAATATTAAAGTTAATTCACCACTTGAAATCGATTCTGAGAAAACGCATTTGATAGAATTGACGGGGAATCTCTGGAAATTGATGAGGCAATTTGGGATTACATAGAAAATTAACTTAGGAAAGGCAACATAACATGTCGAGTTATTCCTGAGCGAAAACTCACACATTTGAAAAAAGAACAGGTGTGCGGCGAGGATGTCTTAAGTCGCCTCTACTATGTGTACTGGCAATAGATTGAATTAGGAAGACAGTAACAGCTACCAACAGGAAAGGAATTCAGTAGACCCCTACAGCAACAGCTACCAACAGGAAAGGAATTCAGTGGACTCCTACAGCAACAGCTACCAACAGGAAAGGAATTCAGTGGACTCCTACAGCAACAGCTACCACCAGGAAAGGAATTCAGTGGACCCCTACAGCAACAGCTACCAACAGGAAAGGAATTCAGTGGACCCCTACAGTAACAGCTACCAACAGGAAAGGAATTCAGTGGACCCCTACAGTAACAGCTACCAACAGGAAAGGAATTCAGTGGACTCCTACAGCAACAGCTACCAACAGGAAAGGAATTCAGTGGACCCCTACAGCAACAGCTACCAACAGGAAAGGAATTCAGTGGACCCCTACAGCAACAGCTACCAACAGGAAAGGAATTCAGTGGACTCCTACAGCAACAACTACCAACAGGAAAGGAATTCAGTGGACTCCTACAGCAACAGCTACCAACAGGAAAGGAATTCAGTGGACTCCTACAGCAACAGCTACCACCAGGAAAGGAATTCAGTGGACCCCTACAGCAACAGCTACCAACAGGAAAGGAATTCAGTGGACCCCTACAGTAACAGCTACCAACAGGAAAGGAATTCAGTGGACCCCTACAGTAACAGCTACCAACAGGAAAGGAATTCAGTGGACCCCTACAGTAACAGCTACCAACAGGAAAGGAATTCAGTGGACCCCTACAGTAACAGCTACTAACAGGAAAGGAATTCAGTGGACTCCTACAGTAACAGCTACTAACAGGAAAGGAATTCAGTGGACCCCTACAGTAACAGCTACTAACAGGAAAGGAATTCAGTGGACCCCTACAGCAACAGCTACTAACAGGAAAGGAATTCAGTGGACTCCTACAGCAACAGCTACCACCAGGAAAGGAATTCAGTGGACCCCTACAGTAACAGCTACCAACAGGAAAGGAATTCAGTGGACTCCTACAGCAACAGCTACCACCAGGAAAGGAATTCAGTGGACCCCTACAGTAACAGCTACCAACAGGAAAGGAATTCAGTGGACCCCTACAGTAACAGCTACTAACAGGAAAGGAATTCAGTGGACCCCTACAGCAACAGCTACTAACAGGAAAGGAATTCAGTGGACTCCTACAGCAACAGCTACCACCAGGAAAGGAATTCAGTGGACCCCTACAGTAACAGCTACCAACAGGAAAGGAATTCAGTGGACTCCTACAGCAACAGCTACCAACAGGAAAGGAATTCAGTGGACCCCTACAGTAACAGCTAGACGACATGGACTTCGCTGGTGACATTTCTTCTCTTTCTCACTCACAGAATCAGATGCAAAATAAATTAATGTAATGCGAGATCGCAACAATTAAGTCTACAAAGCCAAAGAGGAGGACACAATGAAAATTAGTTAGGCAAATAGTAATATTAATTTGTGTGTGTGTGTGTGTGGTATCCCACTCCAAGTTATCGAGTCAAATATCTTTTTGAGCAGTAAGGCAGATTAAAAAAATTGGGAGTGAGAGGGGCGGAATATTGATAGATAAAAAACACTAAGAATCCAGAAGGCAAGAGGAGCTTTCATAGCACTAGGAAATTGTGGAGGTCAAAAGAAATGGAAGAACACGGATAGGACCGAATGTTTAGAAAGAAATGGCAAACTACTGAAAGCAAAATTGTGCTGTAACGCCTTAAACAGCAGACACATCATGATTTTCGCCTGCAACGTCAGAAAAAGATACACAACTAGCAAATTATGAATGTGATGTATGATGTACAAAAATGACAAGTGACTAAGCTGTTTCACTCATTCACACAGGGAGCGAAATGTGTGATGACGGCTGGGTTTATTATTTGGACACCGCAACGTGTTTGCAGGTAGTTCCTAATAGAGCCTTTCGTCCTGAGTACAGGAAGTATGAGGATCTATCCCAGTGTCACGATCGAAAGGGTGGAGAGTTTCGAAATGTATCTGGTAATATTGTAAAGTTTACAGAGGCAATGGAGCCATATTTACGGGGTATGTATATGTGTTTGTGTGTACAGTTTTACCCCTTTTCCTTTTTTCATGTTGTTGTTGTCTTCTTCTTCTTCTTCTTTTCTTCTTCTTCTTCTTCTTCTTCTTCTTCTTCTTCTTCTTCTTCTTCTTCTTCTTCTTCTTCTTCTTCTTCTTCTTCTTCTTCTTCTTCTTCTTCTTCTTCTTCTTCTTCTTCTTCTTCTTCTTCTTTTCCTTCTCCTTCTTCTTCTTCTTCTTCTTCTTCTTCTTCTTCTTCTTCTTCTTCTTCTTCTTCTTCTTCTTCTTCTTCTTCTTCTCATCCAATGTTTGTTCTGACTGAATTCTCAATAAACCTCGAAGCATTTCATATATTTTTTTGGGGTATAATTCAGACATTTGTAACCCTGTCCATTTCACATGTAGTTATTTTCTGTTCTAGTTCCCTCCTCATTGTCCATGTTTGACATCAACAGCATAAAGTAGAGAAGGATTTGCTGTCAATCATTTACTGTTTAGTTGGAAGGGAGACATTTGGGTGGCCACATTGTTTGGTTAACTAGTAAGTGACAGCATTTGCCGTCTGTCGTCTGGCTTCTATCTCTATGAAGTCTGCCATCTTCTGCACTCCGGATTCTATCTGTCTATCGAGTCTGTCATCTTCTGTCCTCTGTCTTCTTTCTCTCTATCAAGTCTGTCATCTTTGTCTTCTATCTCTCTATCGAGCCTGCCATCTTCTATTAAATTGCTTTCTATATATTTGATTTCGCGTACTTAACCGATCTTCATCTTTATATTTAATGTCCGATTCAAGCATAAACAATCGTTTGAATGCTGTCAGGGCAAAATCTGGACAATTATTAAGCAAGCCAATAAATTCCATGGTTGGTTGGATAGACAACATACGGCAGTCTCCGAATGACAGAGGACTACAATGAAACAAAGCCACACATACAGACAGGCATACACACGCTACAGTCATACGCACACACACATATACATACATACACACCCACCCACGCACACACACATAAACACAAATACCCACACATTCACACACATACACACGCACCAATGCCGGTAGAGAAGTCTGCTGATTAATCGGGCAAACCTACTCCTTTGTTGGAGAGAATCAAATCAACTACAACAATTCACCAGCGTTTCCCAGACACTGTCTAACGGAAATGTACCTAATGCTCCAGGGATAACAAGTCTGAGAAATCGTTTCAAAAGAAGCTAATACAAATTATCAGCGTTTCATAGACATTATAAAGAGGTGGCCCTAATGCTTTCGTCACACTGTAAGAAGAGAAAAGCTGAAAAATGTGGTGACAACTGGGGCGATTTAAGGAAAGATGGATTAGTGAAAACAATGAGAGAAGATTCGAGGCAGTCTCTTGTCATGGCATACACTAGTGTCGGCACACGAACTGATAGACAGGGTTGGGAATAATCAGATGTCGAGAAGAATGCTCGTTAACGTCAACCGGCAAAGCACTCGATGACGATAATTTTTATTTTGTAAATTTTTCAGATTATCTACAGTCTTTGAGTGTTCCTGCAGCTCTAGTAGAGTTGTCAATTGTCTGGGTTTCGTGGCCTGACGATGCGTTTCATCGAGTTATGAAAGTGAGTGTATTTGTTGCTTCAAAATACTCACATTGATGTATGTATGTATGTATGTATGTATGTATGTATGTATGTATGTATGTATGTATGTATGTATGTATGTATGTATGTATGTATGTATGTATGTATGTATGTATGTATGTATGTATGTATGTATGTATGTATGTATGTATGTATGTATGTATGTATGTATGTATGTATGTATGTATGTATGTATGTATGTATGTATGTATGTATGTATGTATGTATGTATGTATGTATGTATGTATGTATGTATGTATGTATGTATGTATGTATGTATGTATGTATGTATGTATGTATGTATGTATGTATGTATGTATGTATGTATGTATGTATGTATGTATGTATGTATGTATGTATGTATGTATGTATGTATGTATGTATGTATGTATGTATGTATGTATGTATGTATGTATGTATGTATGTATGTATGTATGTATGTATGTATGTATGTATGTATGTATGTATGTATGTATGTATGTATGTATGTATGTATGTATGTATGTATGTATGTATGTATGTATGTATGTATGTATGTATGTATGTATGTATGTATGTATGTATGTATGTATGTATGTATGTATGTATGTATGTATGTATGTATGTATGTATGGTAGTATGTATGTATGTATGTATGTATGTATGTATGTATGTATGTATGTATGTATTGTATGTATGTATGTATGTATGTATGTATGTATGTATGTATGTATGTATGTATGTATGTATGTATGTATGTATGTATGTATGTATGTATGTATGTATGTATGTATGTATGTATGTATGTATGTATGTATGTATGTATGTATGTATGTATGTATGTATGTATGTATGTATGTATGTATGTATGTATGTATGTATGTATGTATGTATGTATGTATGTATGTATGTATGTATGTATGTATGTATGTATGTATGTATGTATGTATGTATGTATGTATGTATGTATGTATGTATGTATGTATGTATGTATGTATGTATGTATGTATGTATGTATGTATGTATGTATGTATGTATGTATGTATGTATGTATGTATGTATGTATGTATGTATGTATGTATGTATGTATGTATGTATGTATGTATGTATGTATGTATGTATGTATGTATGTATGTATGTATGTATGTATGTATGTATGTATGTATGTATGTATGTATGTATGTATGTATGTATGTATGTATGTATGTATGTATGTATGTATGTATGTATGTATGTATGTATGTATGTATGTATGTATGTATGTATGTATGTATGTATGTATGTATGTATGTATGTATGTATGTATGTATGTATGTATGTATGTATGTATGTATGTATGTATGTATGTATGTATGTATGTGTGTATGTGTGTGTATGTGTGTGTGTGTGTGTGTGTGTGTGTGTGTGTGTGTGTGTGTGTGTGTGTGTGTATGTATGTATGTATGTATGTATGTATGTATGTATGTATGTATGTGTGTGTATGTATGTATGTATTTATGTTGGTATGTATGCATGTATACACACACATACACACATATATATGTATAAGGGGAGGGGGTGTGCTCAAGATGCCTGAGCACCTAGGTTTTGATGCTTCTGTGTCTGAATGCTTACTGCGCAAGTGTCATTTCAGTATAGTCGACAGCGAGACACATATAAACAACTGACGTATTTTGTCCCCGGAAAGTTAATCCCATTTTCAAGGAGCAGACTTCATGACGAAGTGGTTATCTGTCAAGTCCCAGCTGGTGATCTAGGTTTGTGTTCTTGTTTGTGAAATTTTTCGTTTTATAGCGTTCTAACTTTAGCATATTCAGTTCTAACCAGCTTCTACGTCATTATCTTTCATTCATTCAGTATTAATACTAATTCAACTCGTTTTTGAAATTTTATGAAATCGGATTGTTGCTCTGAAAGTCGTAGACATCGCAGACTAGCTGTTGGAACGCGTTAAACTACCTCTGAAAGTCGTAGACATCGCAGACTAGCTGTTGGAACGCGTTAAACTACCTCTGAAAGTCGTAGACATCGCTGGCTAGCTGTTGGAACGCGTTAAACTACCTCTGAAAGTCGTAGACATCGCTGGCTAGCTGTTGGAACGCGTTAAACTACCTTTGAAAGTCGTAGACATCGCAGACTAGCTGTTGGAACGCGTTAAACTACCTCTGAAAGTCGTAGACATCGCAGGCTAGCTGTTGGAACGCGTTAAACTACCTTTGAAAGTCGTAGACATCGCAGACTAGCTGTTGGAACGCGTTAAACTACCTCTGAAAGTCGTAGACATCGCAGACTAGCTGTTGGAACGCGTTAAACTACCTTTGAAAGTCGTAGACATCGCAGGCTAGCTGTTGGAACGCGTTAAACTACCTTTGAAAGTCGTAGACATCGCAGGCTAGCTGTTGGAACGCGTTAAACTACCTTTGAAAGTCGTAGACATCGCAGACTAGCTGTTGGAACGCGTTAAACTACCTCTGAAAGTCGTAGACATCGCAGGCTAGCTGTTGGAACGCGTTAAACTACCTTTGAAAGTCGTAGACATCGCAGACTAGCTGTTGGAACGCGTTTAACTACCTCTGAAAGTCGTAGACATCGCAGACTAGCTGTTGGAACGCGTTAAACTACCTTTGAAAGTCGTAGACATCGCAGACTAGCTGTTGGAACGCGTTTAACTACCTCTGAAAGTCGTAGACATCGCAGACTAGCTGTTGGAACGCGTTAAACTACCTCTGAAAGTCGTAGACATCGCAGACTAGCTGTTGGAACACGTTAAACTACCTTTGAAAGTCGTAGACATCGCAGACTAGCTGTTGGAACGCGTTAAACTACCTCTGAAAGTCGTAGACATCGCAGACTAGCTGTTGGAACGCGTTAAACTACCTCTGAAAGTCGTAGACATCGCAGACTAGCTGTTGGAACGCGTTAAACTACCTCTGAAAGTCGTAGACATCGCAGACTAGCTGTTGGAACGCGTTAAACTACCTTTCAAAGGCGAAGGCAGGAGAAAGAGAAGCAAAATAAAGTATGTTATTTATAAGTATTCATTTATTTCAGTTTCAAACATTTGCAACTAGGGGGTTGCGTGGTCTCGAGGCATGGTGTCCGCCTCGAGTGCTAGAAGTTCCGGGTTCAATCCCTCGTAAGAGCTGGGATTTTTTTCACTTGGACTTGGACTTCTAATAATTCCCACCTTAACTCATGATAGTGAGTTCAGATGCCCGTGGGCATTGTTGCACGCGTAAAAATTCCTTGGCCGTTGAAAATCGAAAAAAAAGTAGCCTAACGGCACTGCCCGGGCAAAATTTAGAGTTAACAATCTACCCAAAGTATTTCAGCATCTTCTCCGGTGCTACAGAGCCTGTGCACTGTGCTGAGCATCTTCGGACTCGGTCTTGAATTGGAAGAAGAACGGAGCATTTTAAGGGTTACTACCCGTGTGCCATGATGTTGATCTTTTGTTCAAACCTTAAACCTTTGTTCTAGTACTTCCTTTTTACTAGTATGTTCGTTGCTGACCTCTCCGTGTGATTGCAGACTGGGATAATTGCAGGTTTCGGGTATTTTAGTAAACTAAATAGTACTATTGTTACTTTCAGGGAGCCGTCTAGTAAAGCGGCTAGACACTCGCCTGCGCATCGGAAGGACGAGGGTTTGGGTCCTGTCGGAGCCTTACTTTTCTCAACAATGACCCTAGCTCCAAGGTGGACCCAGCCTTCAGGTGCAGTCAGGTGAAGTAAAGGCGGCCGGCATGAAGCTGACCACATCACCCACCAAGTGCCGATCTGTCTGTAAAATTTAGCTCTAGCCCTATATGCATAATATGCCTAAAGGCACGGAAAAGGGTCCTTTACTTTTTACTTTTATTATTAGTTCCAGTACAATAACAACTGAGAGAGTACCTGCTACATGCCAGCCTCCCGGCCCGAAAGTCTTAGGGTCAAATCCGCATACCGTCATATTTAAAACAAAAATATCGTTGGCCCCGGGTCAGTTCAACTCCAGACTGGTACCAGGTATAAAGTCTTGGAGCCATCGGACGATTCATACAAATCTATTTCGATACGAATTCGAAATCAAGGCTTTCAGGTCCTCAAGCATCGCTACTGCCGTACAGTTTTCATGCCAGAGCACTAATCTAATGAGGGTTTTATAATGATAAAATCAGCTAAAATATAAACAGAAGATTAATACTATTTAGTGTGCCTTTATGGTGCCCGGCAGAGGAGCGCCTGGTCGCATGGTTAGAACGTGAAAGACCCGGGTTAAAATTCTCGGTAAGGTTGGGGATTTCTTTCTGTCAGAGACAAAATAAAATCCTCACCTGCATAGTCGTGGCAACAGCACTAGCCATGCGGCCCTAAATCCTCAGGCTCAGAGACCCTCACCCCCCTCTTGCCTACAACACAAAATAGTATATAAAGGCAGTAATTGGCAGATTTTTTAAAAATTAGTTTATAGACTTCCCGTCCTTTTTAGGATGGAATTTTTTGTTATTTGAAGCCCTACTCTGGCTCTTGCCAGTGGTCGCAATATAGCCTGGCCATAAATATGGCGGTTTCTGGGACCTCTACACGGTGATCCTCCCCCACATGGTGGCACATTGTGTCATCGGGTGTTTATCGTCGCTTGTGTGATGTCCTGGTGGGGTAGAAAGTCAGTAAAGCAGTCAGATTATTTTTGGAGGGGCCCAGCTATATAGTGCTGGACATCAATTTATAAATATTCCAAGCGGCACTTGGTGACCTCAAAAAAATCTTAGCGTTCTGCCATTGGACGACGTATGAAGGCAATACAAAGATTAATTGAAACCGCCACGATTCGTTACCTTTGTCCCGAGCTTTGTAAAGAGAAAGACATGATTATGACATTGCAGTTGCTCTGGTAAAACAATTTCTTTCAATTTTGCTTAAACTTGTACTCGACTTATGAATGGTTTCTGCTTTTTTTGTTTGTTGAACTGCTACTGTAGTGTGTAATGGATGAGATACATGGAAATATGCCAGGCAATAAATTGGGCAATCTATTGTCTGTGTCTACTTTGTTCAAATTTACAACGGGGAAACATTGCTTTGATATTCAAACTCTTTTCTCTAGCTGGATGTTTTCATTGGTTCCATTAGTGTAGTGTATATGTATGTATGTATATATATATATATATATATATATATATATATATATATATATATATATATATATATATATATATATTTGTCTATATATATATATTGTCCCTTTCATTATCTATATATGTATGTCTACACAAACAACAAAATGTGTATGTTCTGTTCTCGAGCTTATTACTTATTTTTATAACACAGAAAGATTACTGTTTTTTGGAGTAATGGCTGAACGACCGGGACACAACGGGAAGAAAACCTGATGCGGTGAAACCCAACACGTCTAAGTATGGTCTTGACCTCTGCTCCCAGTCAGTTTTGCATGCATTTTAACATAGTTTAAATCGTCTCTGCAGGGGGCTGCATGGTCTCACGCCTTGGTGTCCACCTCGAATGCAAGAGGTTACGGGTTCAATCCTTGGTAAGGACTTGGATTTTTTCACGTAGACTTGGACTTCTAGTAATTTCCCCTGGTCTCTGGGTAGTGGGATCGGACGCCCGTGTGCATTGTTGCGCACACTGAAAAAAAAATCCCTTAACAGTTGGAAATCGAAAAGAGTATCCTAACGGCACTGCCCATGCACAATTTCGTAGTTTAAAAGCTACCCAAAGTATTTCAGGATATTTGCCGGTGCTACAGAGCCTGTGCACTGTGCTGAGCTTCTTCTGGCTCAGACGAGCTAGAAGAAGAGCGAAGCGGTTATGGGTTACACTTGTGTGCCATGATGTTGATCCGTTGTTCAAAACCTCACATCGTAACTGAAGATTGTTAAGTATTCTAACACAAATTCAATTTCCAGAACCTCCCGCATGTCCACGTGACCTGCAACTTGTGTCAGTGTCAGACAGCACCGCTACCCTCTCATGGAGTCCTGGACAACTAGGACGCAAGGTGGACGTCAACATCAACGTTCAAATCTGTGACGCTATGGCGTTTCCATGTGTTGATTTTACAAACAGAACTTTCTCAGACGTCTCACTGTTTCAATCAAGGAACTACACAGTTACAGGATTGCAACCGAAGACAAGACATAAACTTGACATACAGATAATACTGGACTATAACAAGAATACTAAGGATTGTAATGTAACTCTGGCTCTAACAACAAAAGAAAGTAAGTTGAACATTCATCATTATCATGTGCCCTGCCAAGTTAAACACTAGATTATGAATAAATTATATTTTTGCATAGACGTCCCCTTCCCTTGTACAACTATACATACACAGACATATTTTTTGATGAGAGCAAGTTGTATAGTCGGATACACTGAAGTACAACTATTTTTTTTTTCTTTTGAACAATCCTGACACAAGAGGAGCCATGCAAAAGGAGCGTCTTTTACGTTGTTTGCTATGCTCTCTGCAAACCATAGGAGCTACAAACCGCATCGATACCCCACCCTTGTCCAACCAATCTTTCAAGGGTAATGAGGCAAATTTGTGGCACCCATTCCTTTTCCAGTCTCGCGATCTTGCATCCAAGAATAACTATTGTCCGTCTTTTTCAATATCGCCATGGTGACCTTTTTTTTTTTTTGCTGGTTTGCGAGTGTCACTTCCAAGCAGATATAATAAACGTTTTATGCAGTATTTAAACACTTTCGAGGCATTCATACTGCTAGGTGTATGCCGCAGAGATAAAATTACTTGTCCACACTCCCAGAGTATGCCTGTTTCCTCGTGACTGCATCGTTTTATTTTCAACAATGCTTCCCTCAATGTGTGTTATGTTTAGACAAAGCAATTCACGCTGTTTGTTGTATTCTGCAGTTGCAAATATGGCGTTTCAAAATGCTAACATTCATACTATATGCATACAGAGTAGTTGACACACGAACCTTTAGGAATGTCCTAAACAAGAGCCAAACAGTAAATACATTGATCTTTCCTTTAAAGTCCAAATGCATTTGCCTGAGAAACGAGGAGTCAGCAGTCTGCATAACAAATCTGTCAAACAGATGTGCACACAAAACTCAAGTTCTGAAACAAGATCAAATTCCTTACGTGGCCAAGCGACTGAAACCTTCCGCTGGAGTTTACAGCCACTCATCGCGGAGAGGAAGAAGAAAGAAGAAGAAGAAGAAGAAGAAGAAGAAGAAGAAGAAGAAGAAGAAGAAGAAGAAGAAGAAGAAGAAGAAGAAGAAGAAGAAGAAGAAGAAGAAGAAGAAGAAGAAGAGGAAGAAGAAGAAGAAGAAGAAGAAGAAGAAGAAGAAGAAGAAGAAGAAGAAGAAGAAGAAGAAGAAGAAAAAGAAGAAGAAGAAGAAGTAGAAGAAGAAGAAGAAGAAGAAGAAGAAGAAGAAGAAGAAGAAGAAGAAGAAGATGAAGCAATAAAAAAAAAGAAGAAGAAGAAGAAGAAGAAGAAGAAGAAGAAGAAGAAGAAGAAGAAGAGGAAGAAGAAGAACAAGAAGAAGAAGAAGAAGAAGAAGAAGAAGAAGAAGAAGAAGAAGAAGAAGAAGAAGAAGAAGAAGAAGAAGAAGAAGAAGAAGAAGAAGAAGAAGTAGAAGATGAAGCAATAAAAAAAGAAGAAGAAGAAGAAGAAGAAGAAGAAGAAGAAGAAGAAGAAGAAGAAGAAGAAGAAGAAGAAGAAGAAGAAAGAAAGAAGAAGAAGAAGAAGAAGAAGAAGAAGAAGAAGAAGAAGAAGAAGAAGAAGAAGAAGAAGAAGAAGAAGAAGAAGAAGAAGAAGAAGAAGAAGAAGAAGAAGAAGAAGAAGAAGAAGAAGAAGAAGAAGAAGAAGAAGAAGAAGAAGAAGTAGAAGAGGAAGAAAGAAAAAAAAAGAAGAAGAAGAAGAAGAAGAAGAAGAAGAAGAAGAAGAAGAAGAAGAAGAAGAAGAAGAAGAAGAAGAAGAAGAAGAAGAAGAAGAAGAAGAAGAAGAAGAAGAAGAAGAAGAAGAAGAAGAAGAAGAAAAGAAGAACAAGAAAAAGAAGAACAAGAACAAGAAGAAAAAGAACAAGAACAAGAAAAACAAGAAGATGGCTTTTCATAAATATTTGAAACGTCGTTTTTTTTTTTTTTAGTTTCTGCGGTAGCACCAGTGACTTTGCCCAGAAAAGAGAAAGGACAAGAATTATCTGGCGCTGTCGTGGGACTCTTAACTGCGTTGATTATTTGCCTTCTCATCTGCTTTGTATTATCGTTTCTACTTTTCAGAAACTCTCGACAATCCAAAGGTACGCTTAATGAAAAAAAAAATTATTTTTTTATACAGAGAATTAATGTGTATTTATATACGTTAAATAATTGAAATTGAATTTTGTGATGACAAAAACAAAACGCCGTCTTTGAAACATCCATGACATCCAAACAGGCATTTCTCATCTTGAACAGGTTAAATTGTAACATCACCAGGCCAGCAGACGACAAATAACCCGCCATTTTGTTTAGCTAGTAAAACATGCGTTGTTACCTATGCAGCATAAACCCAGTGGTAAATATTAATTCTGATTCAAACTTGGAAAAGTGTATTGATTTAGTTGAATTGATGAGATCAGTTTTTGAGGATGGTCCTTAACAATGGCCCTAACATCCTATGCTCTTAATCGTGGTAGACTTTTCTTAACGGGTTCATGCTAGTCTTGCGCGCCATAGGAAATGGTGGTGTTTTTCATGCCTTCCTGTAGTTCATTGAAAGGGAGAGTAAATATGCAGTTTATGTGTTTCTAAATGTATAAAAACAAAGGTCAGATTTTTAAGAGCATGCATCTTTCCCATTGCAACATACGCCTGTGAGACCTGGACACTTACTAAACAAGCGGAACAGCGCATAAATGCATTTGAATATAAATGTTACAGACAGTTTCTAAGAATATCCTGGGTAAAGAAAAGAACAAATGCATCCATACTTCAAGAGCTGAAAATTGAAGAGGGTAGGCTAGTAAAGACAATAAAACAAAGAAAATTGAAATATTTTGTTCACTTGAAACGTCATGGAAGTCTAGAGAGAACAATAATGGAGGGGTATATGCCTGGGAAGAGAGGAAGAGGAAGGCCAAGGAGAAGATGGGTGCAGGATGTGGTAGATGATCTCCAGATGGGTGTATCAGACGCAGCACATCTTGCTCAGGATAGGAAGGTTTTCCGGAGGGTTGTTATGGCAGCGAGGTTCCGCGAGGGACATGCTACTGAATGAATGAATGAAATGTATAAAAACAATGTCAATGGTGTTATTTTGGGGCAAGTACAGAAATGTAAGAATTTGGGCACATGGATAAAATCAAATGGAAAATGCATTACTTAGATAAGAAACAAAATAGGACAGGCAAAAATTGCATTTTATAAAATGAAGAACATCTTATGCAATATAACTGTGTCATGAGGCGTTAGAAAAAGAATTCTTGCTTGCTATGTAATCCAATTTTAACCTGCGGCTGTGAGTCCTGGATAATCGGTAGGCAGGCCAAACAATTTCTTGAGGCCTCAGAGATGTGGTTTTACAGAAGAATGCTTAAAGTAACTTGGACAGCCAAAAAGAGCAACTAAAAGGTTTTGAAAGAGGCGGTAGCCCGAAGACAACTTATCACAGACATCAGAAGAGGACAGTCATCACTTTTCTGCCATATTATAAGAAGAGAGAAAATGGAACATTTGGTGACCACTGGAAAGATCTGTGGAAGGAGAAATGGAGAAAGACAACGAGAGAAGATTCTTGACAGTCTTGTCGAATGGTATGGAGGTGTGTCAGCACACGAACTAATACATGCTGAAGGAGATCGCAGATTGTGGAGAGGCATGATCGTCCACGCCAATCAACAAGGCACCTGATGATAATAATAATAATTTAAAAAAAAAAAAAAACAAGTAAAGATCCCTTATTACGCCTTAGGCGCATCGGGTATATGGGCAGAGCGTCCCATTTTTTTACAGACCGATCGGCACTGGATGGGTAATGTGGTCAGCATTACGCCGGCCGTCTTTACTTTCCCAGGACAGTCATCCTGGTACCCATTTTAGGCTGGGTCGACGCAGCCAGCAGTGGTTTTCGATCGCGGTACGTTGGAACACGAATCAGACTCGCAACTAAGCCCCGGACGCCCTGAGGATAAAATGTGTTTTAAAAAAAGCAGATATCGATTGCGGTGTGAAAAAGAGTGTTAAAGTGATGCGTAAGTAGTAAGACTTCTGTGTATTTTAAAACGAGGGATACTCAAGGGCGTAGAAACTCAGGGGTAACCAGATGTACACAAAGGGGGGGGGGGCGCGACCCCGGGGGCTGTGGTCCTTTTTGTTTTAGAAGCTCCCTGTATTTTTAGGTGTGGCTATATCGCTTTGATGGGGTTTGTGGACTGGCGTGGGTGTATATGTGTGTATATCCCCGTCTGTAGATCTCCAATACTGGGCTGTTACATGGACACGCCTCTTCGTGGTTGCATGTGAGTATATGCCCCTGTCTGTAGATCTACTTTACTGGGCTGTTACATGGACACGCCTCTGCGTGAGTATATGTGTGTGTATGCCCCCGTCTGTAATCTCCTATACTGTTACACGGACACGCCTCTGCATAGGTGAGCACCCCTGTTATCAGCACTATGTGCCGACTGGCGTGGGCGATGATTTCGCTTCATAACCAATCTTCTCATCATCACATTCGGGTTCCTACATATCCCCTGTATGGCGGGTGGCGCCTCTGCCTTCTTCTCTTAGCTTTGTGGTTCCCCAAGGGCCCGTAGTGTGTATATATGCGTATGTGCTATTGTTTTCCAGCTCTGTGTTATTGGACAGTTGGTCTGAGTGGTACCGTAGTTTGTGTGTACGTCCCTGTCTGTAGATCCATCCGTTTTGTGTTGTTGAGATGCGGCGCTTCTGCCTTCTTCTGTTAGTTGGGTGGTTTTCCTGGGGCCCGTTGTGTGTGTGTGTGTGTGTGTGTGTGTGTGTGTGCCCCTGCTATCCTGATCAAATGCCGGTAGATGTACTTTTCCTGTGTTGCTTTAAAATATTCAGAGGCTGTTATTGACCAGTTAGTCCTTAACAGTAGAAGGTAGACAATACTAAATATTGACTTAAAATAACCAGATTTGATTTGATTGATTCAAGAACCGACATCACAGCACTCGGGGCATTCCGTCCCAATCTTCAGCAGCCAGCAAAGAGTTCTGATTCTAATGGTGCCAGTAGCATTCTGATGAAATGTCCGTCTTGCCTTTCATCTGAGCTTCGAGCATCTGCCAGAACCTCTCGTCACTTCCCCCTGCATTAATCTCACCAGACTGTGGTGATCTAAAAAAAAAAAAAAAAAACGAGAAGTCCTATGTATATTGACAACCCTCTATGCCATGACAAAAGGATGTCATGGAACCTTCTCACGTTTCCTCACTGTCTGGCTTTCCAAAAATCTTTCCAGTGGGTTAACAACATGTTCCAGTTTCCTTCTTCTCACAAAATTACCAAAACTAAAATGACTGCCTCTTTCTGATGTTTGTTGGTAGGTTGTCTTTGAGCACTCGCCTCGTTCAAAACATGTGGGTTCCTTTTTGGCTCTCCGAGAAGTGTTGAATAATTTCTGTAAACCCACATCTCCGAGGCCTCAAGGTATTGTTTTGCTTGTTTATTAATTGTCCAGTATATAAAGGTAATTACCCTCCCCCCCGACCCCCCGTGTGGGTTCTGGGGCCCCATTATGAGGAAAAAATAAATAGACGCACTGCCTTCCACAACAAGCATGACGTAAAAGTCGACTATGCGGGGGGTTTCCTTCGAAGTCGAAGTGCATCTGCCTGAGAGGCTAGGAACCAGCGTTCTGTATATAAATAAGTCAGCTCTGAGAAATGGATGTGCCCGCAAGGTTTAAACTCTGGATCAAGACTAAAGTTCAGAGGTGGACGAAAAACCAAAACTTTTCGCTGGAGTCTACAGCTGGTGAACGCGAAGAAGAAGAAGCAGGAAGCCATTTATCACAATATGGTCACACAAAAGGTAACAAAAACGCTCCTATATGCTGTACTATAGCACTAATGGTGTGGGTAGATTGACCACTCAAAAACAGTTTACAAATACTTCCTCTCTCTGTCTTTATCTCTCTCTCATGTATGTATGTATGTATGTATGTATGTATGTATGTATGATGTATGTAGTATGTATGTATGTAGTA